ATCTGGTGTGTCTTAAATGGCAAGCACTTTGATCTTGCATACATTATATTTCATCACCTTCTTACATGCAAAAGAAAGAAAAAGGTCTCTCTTTATTATCCCATGGTTCTCTCTCACATATTTATGGCTAAGAAGGTTCCGCTTGGTAGTTGTGAAGCAGTCAAACCAGGGCCAAGACACGTTCTCACTGCCTCCAATCTTGCGTCAATGGGGCTAAAAAGGGATTACAATAATGTGTGGTTTTATCCTAGGCAACGAAGGTTGGAAGAGGCTCGAGCTACAGGAGAAGAGATTGAGGATGTTGATGATGGGGATGAAGACGACCATGAAAGTGATGACGATGATGAAAATGAGGAAGTTCCAGTTGAAAATCGTACCAATCGTGCTCTCTTGTTGGAAATTCTCAAAGGGACTCGTCAAAACCAAGCCACTCTTAAGAAACAACAAACTCAACTTGACGAAATGCACATGGCAATCGCTCATCTTAATGACAATTTTACAGAATTTCGAAACCAATATGGACCTTCTTCTCCTTAGAACAGTTTTTCTCCATTTCAAACCCTCTTTTGTGTGCACTTATTAGCTTTATTTGCTTTAGAGAAGCATTTTTCTGTGTTTTATAAACTATGCTTTTATCTGTCATATGGTACTCGTGTTCACAGTCTCTTTCTGTTATCTATAAATTGCCATATTTGCTTATCTTTTGCCCTTTAATTCATTCTTCTCTGATATTTCCTGAAATGGCAAGTTATTTTTCTTTCCATTTTTTTTGAGATGACAAAGGGGGAGAAAGATGTGTTATCATGCTAATGTGCTATTCTATTGCTTTTTTAAGTATCTTGATATATGCATATTGATAGGAGGAGAAGCTCAAAATTACAATTCATGCATATCATTCTCATCTCATCTCTCAAAGAACATAAAATTAGCTCATTAGGTTTTTAAACACATTCATATGAGCCTTACATCATACTGGAATTCATTTTAAGCCTCCTACTGAAAGTAGAGAAGGCTCTACAAAAATTAGAGAAGGCTCAAAGGAAAGTAGAGAAGGCTCTACGAAAGTAGAGAAGGCTCTAGATTTCTAGAGAAGGCTCAGAAAATTAGAGCAGGCTCCATTTCAATTAGAGACGGCTCTAAAAGCTTTTTTCAATGAAATGAAGTTTCCATCCAAAAAGCAGGCTCCCAAAAAGGAGAGCCGGCTCTCAAGGCTAGGGCGCCGCCTCCTCTTGTTTACAAGAGCCGCTTCCTTCTAGGGTTTGGCTAATTCATATAGTTTTGTATGTGATATTACTTATACAGCAGGGTGTGAATACTTAATTATGAAGGTGAAGATTGTATTTTTTAAAAAAAAAAAAATTTAATTTTTTTTATGCTTTCTTATTAATATACACACACGCGCCCACACATACACATATTATTTTCTCTATATTCACTTCAAATCAGAAAAACAGTATGGTGAATTCAGATAATTTCATATGTGCTATTACTTAAATAACAGGATGTGAATACTTAGTTGAGATGGTGAATGTACTTAAAGGAGATTTGCTGGTTCAACCAAATATCTATATATAATAGAGGAGTTGTAGATATACTTAGTCATATCAAACAAGCAGTGCATTTAATTATACATTTACAGCTAATGTTGTGAATTATTACACAATTTCGTGTTCAACTAATCCAAACCTACCACATTAATTGGCTATGCATATTGACTATATATCCACCATAAGTTCTTCCCTTTCTGGTAAACCAATGGTTAACCTTCCCCCAAAAGGTAACCAGCATTCACAAAACAAGTAGTCTAAAAATGAAAATAGAAGAACTCCCACCGCCGTTGCTCAGTGAGGTGGTTAGTAGAGTGGCAGCAAATAATTTTCAAGACCTACTACAACTTCAACAATGGTAAGGATTTAATTGTACATTATTGTTTTATGTTTATAATATTTTTTTCATTCACGAAATTTTTTTGTTAAAAGTGTTTAAATATGTGCAGTTCTCATAAGCTAGCTATGGCGTGTTTGGAGCCACATATGTTACGACTTCTCAGTTTTAAATCCTTGTACGAAATACAAACGGGGGGTACCAGTGATACTTACTATTTGCGATGCGTGTTCATGCAAAAGTGTGTTGATGATGGCAATTTGGAGGCTATGTTTGTCTTCGGAGTGGTACGTTGCTTGCAATCACTTTACTAAATTGTGAAAGTAATTTAATCGGGTTTATTTTTAAGAACTTTATGTTGGATGTAGAAGCTATTTTTCTTGCATCAAAATCGGGCAGATGGGCTACGTATTCTAACCAAAGGTGCATATCTTCAGCATAATGGTTGTAAGTTTGCTTTAGCCATTGCATTAATATATGGCAATGATGCTGATAAAGTAAATGGTATTCAACAACTTTCGAATATGAACACAGACATAACAAATAAACTAATCATAAAACATCGGAGGGAACAAATGATTTCAATAGTGAAAAGAGGGTGGTCAAATGGGTTATTTCATAACATTCCTGCTTGTTGTGAGGAAGATTATGGACCACCGAACTATGAAGGTGACATGGTTCACGTCAAATGGTGGATGGTCGAGCGAATAAATGAGGAGAAAATAAAATGTAATCTTTGCCATTGCGATCTCCACATATTGATGGTGTCTGGCATCATTGGAGAAAAAGTCATAGTCAATTGATGATAACCGTTGATGTCATTTTCTGTATGTAATTTGATATATGTGTATGTATGTAATGTGATGTATGTAGTGTGATGTTGTATTTAACTTTTGAAGTAACAAAATGGAACTTTTGGGATGGATAATCTAATTAGCACTGTCTAACATAAAATCGCCATATGCAAGAGGCAATTAAGTATAGCCATCATTGGAGAAAATAGCCAGATGCCATTCACGGAACCATGTCACCTTAAAATTAATGGTTTCAACCTGTCCCAAATCACAAACAAAATAGACTAAACAATATATGTACACATACATATTTCAATTGACATAAATAGGCCTGAATAAAAATCCATTTCATTTTCCATATATACAAAACCCAAAAAACAAAAGTGAACAAGTTATCCATACATTTACAAATCTTTACTCAAAAAGGGATATATTTTTTATGCCACCATATTCTGTTATCATCCATCAACCATAGTATACCTATACACCATCAATTTGTCAAGAATTTCTTAACTCAAAACAAATTTTGCCGAGCTGGAGGATTGATCTCAGATGTTGTCTCCTCCGACATTGGCATCAAATTACGGTCACCACTGGTGTGATCAACATCCTTAAAATGGATCATACAAAAACAATATTTGTACATACGTTAATTAATGCAAAGTTAAAACATACATGTTTAGAATATACTGCAGAAGCATAAATTTATAAAAGATAAACTTACAAGATAATCTGAGAATTGGCATTCATGATACGAAACAAATGGAGTCCCCTGCCAATATATTCTCAATGTTCATTAACTAATGGATTTCAAAAGTATGAAATAATGTTCATTAATTTTTATATACCTAGTTCAGAATAAAAGTTTGTTTATACCTGTTCAGTTGGTGGAGTCCTGGGATGACTGAAGTTAGTGGTAGGGCAATATGTCATTTGGTCGATATTTGTTTCCGAATGTAAACGTGCACATGGGTGATGATCTTCGTAAATCCAAGTGGCGTCACTAGGAATGTCACAACCCTTATTTCAATATAAACATTCTTAATTAAGAGATTATCATACTAAAAATTATAATAATATATAAAAAATAAAAAATCAATGTTTTCATTTAAGAAAAGGAGAAAACTCACATTCAGACGTACATATGTAATAGGTGGCATGGTACTACTGCCACCTACACCTGCACTAACACTGTTGTTGCCATTTGATTTCTACAAAATAATAGATTTATTCATTGTAAAAACAAAACTATGACATTGCTAATATCAAAATGTTAATGACATATACTGGAAAATTAAATTATCAAATAATAAAAAATAAATTAAATTAACCTTTCGTTTCGCATAGTTTTTTTTTCTCTGCATGTATTGTTCAAACTTATTCTTCTTCCTGCGCCTTGGTCCCTTACCACCTGTTTCTTTATTCTTTATACCCTTGGCATTACTTCCAGTCACGGCTTGCCCAATGATACTTTCATTATGTTCATGATTATTACTTCTTTCAGTTGAAAAAGCTGAATTGGTTGCCTCTTGTTCAACATCGAAACATTGCCTTTCAACATTAATATGTTTCCTTTTCCATTTCATCCCCTTTAGCATCAAATTATTGAATACCTCTTCTTTCTCGGATGCAAATGAGCTGATTTTTGTAAAAAAAACGACATAACATCCTATACCTTCTGCGTACTTCAAGTTTAGGTTCAGCAATAACTTCACATCCACGGATGTCTTGTACGCTGTTATCCCTAGCTTTTCTCGTCCACCTTTTTAGTATATACATAGAAGGTAATTCTTTGAAATACTGTGTGTCGTCTTTCAGTACTTTAAGTACATGGCTGCACAAAATACCTTCCATTGCATATTTCCCGCACGAACAAGTTAGAAAGCCATCATCCCACCTTGTCACAGTCCGATCCATACTGCTATCATGAACAGATACTCTAGAAACATGTAATCCATTTTCATCAAAACTTGTTCCTTCCACGGCAGCAACCACACATGCTTCTATGAATTGGTCCTGGAAAAGTTCAAAAATCTTCAATGTGTACATATTGCCCACTTGTTTTAGAATGGGACAATTTTGTTTAAGTGTAGGTAGTTTACTGAGTAAACCATACTCAGCTTGATATTCCTTGTACCGTTTGTCTGACAATAGCCTGTCAAGGTGCATGAAGAAATCTGGAATACTCATTTTCCTGGTTAAGTACTCTTTCAAGCAGCTATTTAAACTTTCACTCAGCTGCGTTGTCCGCATTCCAGCGGTAAACCAATGTTTAACAAATGGATAACCCCATTTTTCTCTTAAACCAAACAAATTGTTCAACTATATGTTACCAACAACATTGTAGTCCCTTAACATTACATCCCATTGTATACAAAAATCATCCTCATCATCATAACAGTACATGAATTGACTCAGCACACTTTTAATCCCTTCATCATTCCTAAAAATGGTGCCTACATGCTTCTGTGCATTTGCCATGATGTGCCACGTGCAAAGTAAATGTCTTGTCCTCGGCATAACTTGTGCCAACGCCTTTGCCATTGCACCATCTTGGTTAGTAAGAATCGTTTGTGGTGCTTTACCTAACATTACATTCAAGAATATATCAAAAAGGCATGTAAATGAATAGGCAATCTTATCATACATCATCACTAAAATTTTTAACAGTATTGAAAATTTGAAGGCAAGAACATTATGGCCCAATAAAATATCTTCATTTGAAAAAGTAATTCACATAAAAAAGGTAAAAAAAAAATGGCCATGTTCAATTATTAAAGGCTGAAGTTGATCATGCCCTTTTTTAACCCTTCCTTTTATATATATATATATATATACTTTTTTAGTATGATTCTGATTTTTATGTAAATTACTTGTGGTTACTTGAGTGAGTTTATTGTTTGTACCTTGTAGCTCACCAGTAACTTAATCATATTTGAAGTCTATTACACTACCTGGAGATGTTAGAATCTTTGCTTCCCAAGGGTAGTAGCAACAGTCATTTATTCCTTCCAAATACTTGTATATGTTTTCCTGAATACAAATACTGAATAATGCATTGACAATACTCGTGTATAAAGTACTAACTTTTTCTTGTATACATACATGTCCATTATGTGCACTCTCGGGTTGAGTTTGAGTCATATTTTAAAAAACAAGCAGAGAAGAATAATGAGATGAAAAGAGAAATAAAAATAAAAGGACTTTATTTAGGTAAGTCCCACAATCCACATTCTCTACATCTCCCACAACACCTTGTGTTGTTATTATTATTATTAAAGAGATATAAATTTTTTTTAAGACATAAAGAGTTAAAATTTGAGCTAAATCCTTTTAGTGTAAAAGATGTGAACAAAAAGAATAGAGGAGTTAGAATTCTTATTTTACCCTTGACATTTGACAAAATGAGTACAATAAAATGTTGCAACTATTTTTGTTTTTCTTTTCCATGATATAGAAACAGAAAAACAGAGATTATTCATTGTTCTCTCCTTGATAATTAACTTCTAATTAAGTAGGTGCAGCACAGATAATTAAATTATAATTTTAACCTACATGGAATCTTAAACCAATTCATTTTTTTTTTTTTAACCAAATGCACTATTCCAATCTTTCACCTCACACAATCCACATTCTTTATATTTCCACCTTCATCTCATTATTCTTCTCTGCTTATTTTTTAAAATATGACTCAAACTCAACCCGAGAGTGCACATAATGGACATGTACGTACACAAGAAAAAGTTAGTATTTTATACACGAGTATTGTCAATGCATTATTTAGTATTTGTATTCAGGAAAACATATACAGGTATTTGGAAGGAATAAATGACTGTTGCTACTACCCTTGGGAAGCAAAGATTCTAACATCTCCAGGTAGTGTAGTAGACTTCAAATATGATTAAGTTACTGGTGAGCTACAAGGTTCAAACAATAAACTCACTCAAGTAACCACAAGTAAGTTACATAAAAATCAGAATCATACTGAAAAGTATATATATATATAAATAAAAAAAAAAAGAAAAAAAGAAAAAAAGAAAAAAAAATGAAGGGTTAAAAAAGGGCATGATCAACAGTAAGTTTTAATAATTGCAAAAAGAAAAAAAAAAATTACATTTAGACTACTTACCAGACATTGCATTCAAGAATGAATCAAACAGCCACGCAAAGGAATTGGCAGTCTCGTCATACGTCAATGCTAGTCCAAAGAAAGCAGTCTCCCGATGATGATTCAAACCAAGAAAAGCCGCAAAAGGACGATTGCTTTGGACGAGCTTGTATGTCGTGTCAAATGTGACGACATCTCCAAAATGCCCATAGTCAATTATCATTCTCGAATCTGCCCAGAAGATATTAGTTATCATTTCATCGCTATCCAACTGCACGGTGTGAAAAAATGAAGGATTCTCACAAGATTGAATTTTGAAATAATTCATCAGCCATGTCTTCTCTCCGTATTCTAACTCACTCTGTCTTCTTGTCCTTAGAAAATTTTGTTGATCAACTTTGGTGTAGCCAATTGATTGCCTCCCACCAGCCTGCCTGCTCATTAACTCAAATGCATTACCGAGTGGAACTCCAGATTGGCAGGCCAATTCCACATCAATTGCTTGGGCAACACTTATTCTTCGTTGTGATGACATCATATGTGTGCATTCTTCAATTATCATAGGATGATTGTGAGATTCGACAAAATTATATATAACATACTTTCCCTTCTTGCGGTCATATCTAATTTGCATCAGTGCACCACAACCGGTTCGAGTTTCCGCCCTGGGCTTTCTTGTATGGATATCCCTCTTGTCTTTCACCCTAAAACCTTGTTTGGAACACACAAACTTGCTTGTTGTAATATTTCCTGTCTTAGGGCTTTTATTTGCATAATCCTTACGAATACTGAATCCAACTTTACTCCCATAAGCATTATAAAAGTCGTATGCTTCATCCTCAGTGTCAAACTGCATGTTCAATTTTGGTGTGAATTCTATGTCAATGGGATTGACAACTTCTACTACTAAGTTTTCAGAAATATTGATTTCAGCAACGATTGGAACGCTTGTTCTCACATCATTAATACTTAAGTCATTATCCATTGGGACAACTTCAGTATGAAAGCTACAACAAGCAAAAGGTCCATCAAAACGTTAAAGTCAGTTTCTATAACTTGTGACAAAAAATATATATATACTAAATATTTACCGAACTAATGAAAAGGGCTAAAAATTCGTACAATTATCCAAGATTTTAGATACACTAGAATGCTTAACCAAAGTCAATTTCAAGTAAAAAAAATATCATAATTTAAACGAACTGATGACAAATGAAAGAATTAAAAAAATTTAACTTTAGGTGTGAAATTAGTTTTGCAGAGGTGTGAAATTAGTTTGCAGAACTGTGTTAATTGCTTATTTTGATGGTGAAGGTGATCAGTGTCCCTACTTATTAAACTTCACAATGTATTTTTTCTCAGAAATGTGACATAATAACCTATGAAATGTGTAATTGCCGCATACATGAGAAGACAAAATATTTGGATAACGCATTGGTATCTAATGAAGCCAACTCAGTTAAAAAAAACAATTAGGGAAGATTTTACAATCACTAGAATGGTTATTGAAGATTATAGAAGAAAATCCTATAATTATCCAAGATTTCAAATACGCTAGAATGCTTAACCAATACCAATTTCAAGTAAAAAGAATCATAATTTACACTAACGGATGACAAATGAAAGAATTAAAAAATGTTAAATTTAGGTGTGAAATTAGTTTTACAGAGGTATAAAATTAGTTTTGTAGAATTGTGTGAAAAGCTTATTTTGATGGTGAAGGTGATCAGTGTCCCTACTTATTAAACTTCACAATGTATTTTTTCTCAAAAATGTGACATAATAACCTGTGAAATGTGTAATTGCCGCATACATGAGAAGACAAAATATTTGGATAACGCATTGGTATCTAATGAAGCCAACTCAGTTAAAAAAAATAATTAGGGAAGATTTTACATTCACTAGAATGGTTATTGAATATTATAGAAGAAAATCCTAGAATTATCCAAGATTTCAAATAAGCTAGAATGCTTAACCAATGCCAATTTCAAGTAAAAAAATCATAATTTACACTGACGGATGACAAATGAAAGAATTAAAAAATGTTAAATTTAGGTGTGAAATTAGTTTGCAGATGTGTGAAACTAGTTTGCAGAACTGTGTGAATAGCTTATTTTGATGGTGAAGTTATCAGTGTCCCTACTTATTAAACTTCACAATGTATTTTTTTCTCATAAATGTGACATAATAACCTGTGAAATGTGTAATTGCCGCATACATGAGAAGACAAAATATTTGGATAACGCATTGGTATCCAATGAAGCCAACTCAGTTAAAAAAAAATAATTAGGGAAGATTTTACATTCACTAGAATGGTTATTGAAGATTATAGAAGAAAATCCTACAATTAACCAAGATTTAAAATACTCTAGAATACTTAACCAATGTCAATTTCAAGTAAAAAAAAATCATAATTTACACTAACGGATGACAAATGAAAGAATTAAAAAATGTTAAATTTAGGCGTGAAATTAGTTTGGCAAAGGTGTGAAATTAGTTTTGCAGAACTGTGTGAATAGCTTATTTTGATGGTGAAGGTGATCAGTGTCCCTACTTATTAAACTTCACAATGTATTTTTTCTCAGAAATGTGACATAATAACTTGTGAAATGTGTAATTGCCGCATACATGAGAAGACAAAATATTTGGATAACGCATTGGTATCTAATGAAGCCAACTCAGTTAAAAAAAACAATTAGGGAAGATTTTACATTCACTAGAATGGTTATTGAAGATTATAGAAGAAAATCCTATAATTATCCAAGATTTCAAATACGCTAGAATGCTTAACCAATGCCAATTTCAAGTAAAAAGAATCATAATTTACACTAACGGATGACAAATGAAAGAATTAAAAAATGTTAAATTTAGGTATGAAATTAGTTTTCCAGAGGTGTGAAATTAGTTTTGTAGAACTGTGTGAATAACTTATTTTGATGGTGAAGGTGATCAGTGTCCCTACTTATTAAACTTCACAACGTCTTTTTCTCAGAAATGTGATATAATAACCTGTGAAATGTGTAATTGCCGCATACATGAGAAGACAAAATATTTGGATAACGCATTGGTATCTAATGAAGTCAACTCAGTTAAAAAAAAACAATTAGGGAAGATTTTACATTCACTAGAATGGTTATTGAAGATTATAGAAGAAAATCCTAGAATTATCCAAGATTTCAAATACGCTAGAATGCTTAACCAATGCCAATTTCAAGTAAAAAAAATCATAATTTACACTAACGGATGACAAATGAAAGAATTAAAAAATGTTAAATTTAGGTGTGAAATTAGTTTTGTAGCGGTGTGAAATTAGTTTGCAGAACTGTGTGAATAGCTTATTTTGATGGTGAAGGTGATCAGTGTCCCAACTTATTAAATTTCACAATGTATTTTTTCTCATAAATGTGACATAATAACCTGTGAAATGTGTAATTGCCGCATACATGAGAAGACAAAATATTTGGATAACACATTGGTATCTAATGAAGCCAACACAGTTAAAAAATAAAACAATTAGGGAAGATTTTACATTCACTAGAATGGTTATTGAAGATTATAGAAGAAAATCCTACAATTAACCAAGATTTCAAATACTCTAGAATGCTTAACCAATGTCAATTTCAAGTAAAAAAAATCATAAATTACACTAACGGATGACAAATGAAAAAATTAAAAAATGTTAAATTTAGGCTTGAAATTAGTTTGGCAAAGGTGTGAAATTAGTTTTGTAGAACTGTGTGAATAGCTTATTTTGATGGTGAAGGTGATCAGTGTCCCTACTTATTAAACTTCACAATGTATTTTTTCTCAGAAATGTGACATAATAACCTGTGAAATGTGTAATTGCCGCATACATGAGAAGACAAAATATTTGGAAAACGCAATTGTATCTAATGAAGCCAACTCAGTTAACAAAAACAATTAGGGAAGATTTTACATTCACTAGAACGGTTATTGAAGATCATAGAAGAAAATCCTATAATTATCCAAGATTTAAAATACGCTAGAATGCTTAACCAATACCAATTTCAAGTAAAAAGAATCATAATTTACACTAACGAATGACAAATGAAAGAATTAAAAAATGTTAAATTTAGGTGTGTAATTAGTTTTACAGAGGTGTGAAATTAGTTTTGTAAAACTGTGTGAATAGCTTATTTTGATGGTGAAGTTGATCAGTGACCCTACTTATTAAACTTCACAATGTATTTTTTCTCAGAAATGTGACATAATAACCTGTGAAATGTGTAATTGCCGCATACATGAGAAGACAAAATATTTGGATAACGCATTGGTATCTAATGAAGCCAACTCAGTTAAAAAAAACAATTAGGGAAGATTTTACATTCACTAGAATGGTTTTTGAAGATTATAGAAGAAAATCATATAATTATCCAAGATTTCAAATACGCTAGAATGCTTAACCAATGCCAATTTTAAGTAAAAAAAATCATAATTTACACTAACGGATGACAAATGAAAGAATTAAAAAATGTTAAATTTAGGTGTGAAATTAGTTTTGCAGAGGTGTGAAGTTAGTTTTGTAGATTTGTGTGAATAACTTCTTTTGATGGTGAAGGTGATCAGTGTCCCTACTTATTAAACTTCACAATGTATTTTTTCTCAAAAATGTGACATAATAACCTGTGAAATGTGTAATTGCCGCATATATGAGAAGACAAAATATTTGGATAACGCATTAGTATCTAAGGAAGCCAACTCAGTTAAAAAAAACAATTAGGGCAGATTTTACATTCACTAGAATGGTTATTGAAGATTATAGAAGAAAATCCTATAATTATCCAAGATTTCAAATACGCTAGAATGCTTAACCAATGCCAATTTCAAGTAAAAAAAATCATAATTTACACTAACGGATGACAAATCAAAGAATTAAAAAATGTTAAATTTAGGTGTGAAATTAGTTTTGTAGAGGTGTGAAATTAGTTTTGTAGAACTGTGTGAATAGTTTATTTTGAAGGTGAAGGTGATCAGTGTCCCTACTTATTAAACTTCACAATGTATTTTTTCTCAGAAATGTGACGTAAAATCCTGTGAAATGTGTAATTGCCGCATACATAAGAAGACAAAGTATTTGGATAACACATTGGTATCTAATGAAGCCAACTCAGTTAAAAAAAATAATTATGGAAGATTTTACATTCACTAGAATGGTTATTGAAGATTATAAAAGAAAATCCTATAATTATCCAAGATTTCAGATATGCTAGAATGCTTAACCAATGCCAATTTCAAGTAAAAAAAAATCATAATTTACACTAACGGATGACAAATGAAAGAATTAAAAAATGTTTAATTTAGGTGTGAAATTAGTTTTGCAGAGGCGTTAAATTAGTTTTATAGAACTGTGTGAATAGCTTATTTTGATGGTAAAGGTGATCAGTGTCCCTACTTATTAAACTTCACAATGTATTTTTTCTCATAAATGTGACATAATAACCTGTAAAATGTGTAATTGCCGCATACATGAGAAGACAAAATATTTGGATAACACATTGGTATCTAATGAAGCCAACTCAGTTAAAAAAAAAAAAAAAAAAAACAATTATGGAAGATTTTACATTCACTAGAATGGTTATTGAAGATTATAGAAGAAAATCCTATAATTATCCAAGATTTCAAATATGTTAGAATGCTTAACCAATGCCAATTTCAAGTAAAAAGAATCATAATTTACACTAACGGATGACAAATGAAAGAATAAAAAAATGTTAAATTTAGGTGTGAAATTAGTTTTCCAGAGGTGTGAAATTAGTTTTGTAGAACTGTATGAATAGCTTATTTTGATGGTGAAGGTGATCAGTGTCCCTACTTATTAAACTTCACAATGTATTTTTTCTAAAAAATGTGACATAATAACCTGTGAAATGTGTAATTGCCGCATACATGAGAAGACAAAATATTTGGGTAACACATTGGTACCTAATGAAGCCAACTTAGTTAAAAAAAAAAAAAAACAATTATGCAAGATTTTACATTCACTAGAATGGTTATTGAAGATTATAGAAGAAAATCTTACAATTATCCAAGATTTTAAATACCCTAGAATGCTTAACCAGTGTCAATTTCAAGTAAAAAAATATCATAATTTACACTAACAGATGACAAATGAAAGAATTAAAAAATGTTAAATTTAGGTGTGAAATTAGTTTTGTAGAGGTGTGAAATTAGTTTTACAGAACTGTGTGAATAGCTTATTTTGATAGTGAAGGTGATCAGTGTCCTTACTTATTAAACTTCACAATGTTTTTTTCCTCATAAATATCACATAATAACTTGTAAAATGCGTAATTGCCGCATACATGAGAAGACAAAATATTTGGATAACATATTGGTACCTAATGAAGCCAACTCAGTTAAAAAAAAAAAATTATGGAAGATTTTACTTGCACTAGAATGGTTATTGTAGATTATAGAAGAAAATCCTACAATTATCCAATATTTCAAATACACTATAATGCTTAACCAATGTCAATTTCAAGTAAATAAATATTATAATTTACACTAACGGATGACAAATGAAAGAATTAAAAAATGTTAAATTTAGGTGTGAAATTAGTTTTGCAGAGGTGTGAAATTAGTTTTGTAAAACTGTGTGAATAGCTTATTTTGATGGTGAAGGTGATCAGTGTCCCTACTTATTAAACTTCACAATGTATTTTTTCTCAGAAATGTGACATAATAACCTGTGAAATGTGTAATTGCCGCATACATGGAAGACAAAATATTTGGATAACAAATTGGTACGTATTGAAGCCAACTCAGTTAAAAAAAAAAAAAAAAAAAAAAACAATTACGGAAGATTTTACATTCACTAGAATGGTTATTGAAGATTATTGAAAAAAATCTTACAATTATTCAAGATTTCAAATACGCTAGAATGTTTAACCAATGTCAATTTCAAATAATAAAAAAAATCATAATTTACACTAACGGATGACAAATGAAAGAATTAAAAAATGTTAAATTTAGGTGTGATATTAGTTTTGCAGAGGTGTGAAATTAGTTTAGTAGAACTGTGTAAATAGCTTATTTTGATGGTGAAGGTAATCAGTGTCCCTACTTATTAAACTTCACAATGTATTTTTTCTCATAAATGTCACATAATAACCTGTGAAATGTGTAATTGCCGCATACATGAGAAGAAAAAGTATTTGGATAACAAATTGGTACCTAATGAAGCCAACTCAGTTAAAAAAAATAATTATGTAAGATTTTACATTCACTAGAATAGTTATTGAAGATTATAGAAAAAAATCCTACAATTATCCAACATTTCTAATATGCTAGAATGCTTAACCAATGTCAATTTCAAGTAGAAAAATATCATAATTTACACTAACAGATGACAAATGAAAGAATTAAAAAATGTTAAATTTAGGTGTGAAATTAGTTTTGCAGAGGTGTGAAATTAGTTTTACAGAACTGTGTCAATAGCTTATTTTGATGGTGAAGGTGATCAGAGTTCCTATTTGTTAAACTTCGCAATTTTTTTTTCTCATAAATATCAAATATTAACCTCTGAAATGTCTAATAAATCACCTAGTGCAGGCTCCAATATTTATTGGAGCCTGCTCTAGGTGATTTAGAGCCTTCTCTAAATGGAGCAGGCTCAATTACAAAGTGGAGCAGGCTCTACTTGGTAGTGGAGGCGGCTTCACTTTGGGTGAAGCTGGCTCCTTTATGCATTTTTTCATTTTTTCGTTTCCAGCCTGATTTGGTTGCCGCATGCATTTAATACCAATTTTTTTGATAACACATTCATACCTACTGAAGCCAATTCAGTTCTAAAAATCAATTATGGAAGATTTTACATTCATTACGATGACAGATCGATGACAAATGAAAGAATCATAAATTTTCTAAATCTACATTGTTCCGTTCAAAACAAAAATTTCACTGTAAATGAACAATATATTAAATGCACAATATTAATAAGACTTACCAACAATCAAGCATTAATTAGGTTAATTGTAGATACCACATCAGGTTCATTGTAGATTTTCTTCCTGTAGATGAATAGTTGACATTGCATTGAGAAATCAGCACACTGCAATTTGGGTTTTGATTCAAAAAAAATTATTAAAAAGTAAGAATAGAGGAGAGAGGAATTAGGGTTTTTAATAAAAAAGAAATTCAAAGCAATATGTTTTTTTGATGGAACAAAGAGATAGGAATAAGGGTTTGGATTAAAATGAAAAAGGAAGGAGGAAAATAACAAAAGCAAAAGGGAAGAAGGGGAAAGTGAAACTGCAGAAGGGCGGGGGCGGCAGCTTATTTCAACTTTTCCTTTTTTTTTTTTTTTTTTTGGCTTTACAGTTGACACGTTAAGTTACTGTGCCGTTTGTGGACTTCTTTTTCTTGTGTCAAGCCAAACACGACATTAAACAACTCACAGCAAGAGACTGTAGGATAACTCACAGGGGGGATTTGAGCCCTATTTCAAGGCCATGTCTAGTATTCACTTTTAACTCTTTTATATGTATAAATATGCAGGATCTTCCGCGAACCTTTCCTGGTCACCCATGGTTGGTCACCCCAGAGGGTCATGCTGCTCTCAGACGTGTCCTTGTGGGATATTATTCTGATGTTGGTTACTGTCAGGTGGGTTAACTTTTTTTATTTTATAATAAGTAATAACAATAACACTAAGGGTTCATTTCACTTATTATTATTATTATTATTATAATAAATTATAAGTTGTGGAACACTTACTTTCAGAAAGACAAGTTTTACATGGTTCTAAAAAATCTCATATAAATAAACAATAGTAGTTGGATATATTGGAAGCTACACGGGAAATAATCAATTAGTCTATTTTTTAAAATTTTTTTACAAGTTAATACAAATGTTAAAGATAACTAAGAAATGGGTAAGTTTTTTAAAATAGGAAAAAGGACTGATTAATTGATGGAAAATGATATTTATGCCGATGGAATTCGCCGATTTGTTAGACAGAATTTTACTTTGCGTCTAGTTGGCAAAAAAACATAGGTCCATTCATCTTCCCTGTCTCTCCTCTGCCTCTCTAACCTCCCTCGAGTTGCAGATCTGATCTGAACACAAGGGAAACGGTGAGACCGGTACAAATTTGCATCTGTGGAGAAGAAGCAGAGACACGGCCGGCGAAGCTGATCGGAATAGACAATTGGAAAGTTTACAAACCGGCACCGACGGGAACAGTCTCTTCACGGCGTCGCAGAAGGAGATGGGATCGGCGGCGGTGGGCGCCAGAGATCTACAGCGGAGGACGGTGAGGAGGTTCTTGGAGGATCTTGGATCTGTGAGCAGGGTTGGTGTGTTGGGTATCGGGCAGTGATGGTTGACGGCGAGTTGCTGTGGATGAAGGGTGCAAACGTGTCGGCCGACGGTGACGATGAATCGTGGAAGACGCCGGTGAGTTTGGTTCAATTTTTTTCGATCGCGAAATTTCAGATTGTCATCTTTGTGCGTGGGTCGCCGGTGGCTCTCACGAGTTGTGTTTTCACCGTAAGAAACTGGTCTGATTTTGCTGTTGTTGTTTGCATTGGTGAGGCTTCATCGGTTCTTTGTCTTTTTGGCCGGAAGTTGCAGAGGTTTACCGGCGTTCTCGGCTGTCGTCTTTTTCGTCGAAAGCTTCTTACGGTCAGATTCTCAAACTCCAAGCAGTCCTTCGTCGTGGTGGGTTGTAGACTTGCAGTTTGGCTCAATCTTGTCGTCGGGTGTTTTGTTTGCCGTCGCCGTGCCTTGCCGAGAGCTTGCCTTTGTAACTTTGTTTTGGTTGTTGGTCGGATATTCAGGCTTTTGATAAGAGGTCATGTATTCTGTAACTCTGATTGGTTTTCGTACATGTACACTTGCACTTTCCAACTGATAGTCCTTTATATTTTTGGAATATCCCATTCATTTGTCTTAGCTGATTGGAGTGATAGTTTGGAATGTTTTCTATGAATTGCTTGTTTGTTTCGTGCCGCAGATCTTCCCTACAAGGACTACCAGAGCAACCAGAATTTCAGTGTCACTACTTACTCTTCTACTAGTGTCGTAAGTGTTATTTATTTTTGATATATATATATATATATATATATATATATATATATATATATATATTTTTTTTTTTTCCCCGTTGCTTCTTAGATCCGTATATTTGCTTATTTGCGTGGTGAGGCTAGAGTTATCTCTCTATTTATTATTTTGTGTGTGGTGTTATTTGTAGAGTATTTTTATATGTGACTCAATGTGTTTTGTTCAAAAATTAAAAGAAATCAGTTCAATAGATTTGATACTTATACCCTCTCTGGTCTTTGTTCCACTTTCAACTTTTGGTCTATATGATTAATGCATTATGGACTTAAAACATGTGTGCGCGCTATGTGGTTTTATAAATTGCATATAGTGAACAATTTCTAAAGGGAATCTGCATTCTTGTCACTTTTGATACCATTTTGTTTTCTGTAATATATCATTGTGGTTTATTTATTTGATTTTTATTTCTTTTTATAGAGTTGTTATATACCTACACGTCCAACCACATTATTTTGATCATTATGATACAGTAAACTCTTTGAAACTGATTGAATATTCATGTTGTTTATGCTTAGGCTTTAGCAAATATTTGACAGAGCAGAGCTTAGTGCTGGGACAGCTAATGAATTTCAAACTAATCCATTGTCTGATATTTGGAAACTTTTGTCTTTCTAACGGCTAGAACAAGCATGCTATGAGTTTTTGATTTTAGAGAAAGTTCATTTTAAAGCATAAATGATCACTGTAAGATCTAAGATTTAGCATTAAGTCATTGAGTCATTGCTTGAGCAACATGTTCTAAAAACTTTTTAGTGACATATTTTCTCTCTTATTGTTTTTAATGTGACCGACCCATTCATATAAGATTATGATAGGGATAACACCAATCTGTCAAACCTTATATATATATATATCGTACTTTATTTGACCAAATTAAACTGTTATCTTTAATTGTATAATTTTATTTTATTTATGATGTTTTAAGCTAAGATTAATGTGATAATGAAAGTACTTTTTTTTGTTTTTTCCAAAATTTGCTTGCTTTTATTGGTAACAAGTTATTGGATTTTCAAATTTTTTATTGGTGGAAGGTCTAAAACTTTTGTTTTTGTCTTCTTTTAACTTGGGACGGGGTATATTAAACGCGTAGGAAAAAACAACAAATTATGGACGGCGGAAGTTGGCATCCACACGAGAGATGAAGAAGCACTACTAAATTTCAAAACGTGGAGGGATATTCCAGATTCTGAGAGACAGGTTTGCTATGATCATTTTAAGGTAATGTGTTCTTTTCTTTTCATTCGATACAATGCTAAATACTCGAACAATTTAAATTCTAAGAACCACCATACTCTTATATTCGGTATACCTCCAATTTCATGCAATAACTACATTTAATTAATACAATAAGCAAATTTGCCTGGTAGCATCCATTCTTATGCCTGGGACTAACAATGAAAATGACCCCTGTAAGTAGGACTAACACTACTGGGGATGTTTTTGTTTTGGTCCATGAGAATTGAAAGACAGCCAGCTACTTCATTCATTCGACTTCCAGCCCAGATTCAGGGTATGGAAGGATTGGATTCCAGATTTTAACAGCGCACTAAAGAAGATAAGAATTTTACCACTCAATTTATAAAATATCAAAGAACGAAATCGAAGAACGAAAATTTTTTCCCAAGTTAATATGAAACTGTTAGCTTAGTAACTTATTGCAACTCTTTGTTGGTTTAGACCACCATTTGCGCTGATCAATATAAGAAATTTCTTGTTCTTTTAGCATGATTGATGATGAGAACCAGATTGAAAATTGGCTTCTCCCAGTGGCGTCTCTCATTATGGGTTTTGTTTCATAGGCTGTAAGATTTAAAAAGATATTTTTCAAGAAGCTTTATATTTCAGAGAGATTTGCCTGATTTAAAGACCAAGTGGTTCCATCATATGCACAAACAGCTATAGTGAGAAGTAAACCAAGGGGGGTCAAATTTCTACTGCCTTGCTGTAATCACAGTGAAAATATTTAATTTTGTACCGGTGCCATAGGAGCTCGTCACTAAAGAAGCTGTTGTAGGATGCTAGATTTTCTTTTTTGGTTGTAAATCTTAGTAGTTTTGGAAAATGGCAATTTCACATGTACATATTAAGGTGGAGAGATTATTTATGGAACTTATAATGGTTATTGAAATTACTTGGGAAATAATAACTTTAATCTCACCTAAAATATATATATATATATATATATATATATATATATATATATATATATATATGTTATTGAATAAAAAGTGTCAGATATGAAGTTAGTCTTTGCCATTTAACTTTTGAAGCCTTGCAAGTTATCAATAGGTGCATGTTGGTTATGCATTTTACTCTAATAGTATCTCAGATAGATGGGTTGCCAGTTTTGAGATTTGGACATATGTCCTGTAATAGTATTTGGCTTAGGGGAAAGTCTTAGTATTTGGATAATTGTTCTGTAGTTTGTTTTGGGAGAGATCGGTAGATGGTCTTTGTTTTTAGTTTATTTCATCGGTTGTTTTTGTTGCTTGGGTTTACCTTTTTATTGGGAAAAATTCTGGTTTTTAGTTATTCAAAAAATGTGGTATTTAAACCGATTTGGGGTTTGTTCATTGTTAATGGTTTTGTTTTAGCAAGGGATAATCTCTGGTTTTGATTGTAAATGAGTTATATATGCTTGTTTAGATTACAGTTTCTTTATTTAAATTTTGGGGATAATTTTTAATTTATTTCTTCATCTGTTCTTTTTAAATTTGAAAAAACTAGAATTTTGGTTTAGAGAGTTGGAGCTTAGAGAAGATACAGGTGGATGTTACTAGAGTCCTAGTTATTTTACAGAGACAAGGGGCAACTGAGCCTTTAAGATGACTGTGATGGGAGATTGTTTTATTTTACATGTACAAGGAGGAACTAAGGCTTTGAGAGGTTTGTAGCAGATCGAGTTCAGATTTCAGCATGCTACAATTGAACTTCTTTTGGACATTGAAAATATGACCTCTTTGTAAAAGCATATTCAATCCTAAACGCTGCATGTTCGGATCAAATTATAGTTTTGTTTATCTCTTAGTTATAAGTTGCTTCAGGAGATGTATTCAATTTGCAGGTAGCTCTGCTTTTCATAATACATGTTCATTGATAGCACCTGTAAAAATGGATCTATACTTTTTATGTCTTGTTAGGTTGTCAGTTCTTTCTATTTTCTATTAACATGACAATTTTCTTTCATGCTTTGGTTTTTTTTTCCACCACAATAACCTTTTTCTTTTGATGTCCTTTTATTTCTACATGATCAACATTTATTATTCCATGATCAATGTCTTTTCATTTATTGTTCTTTCTTTCTTTATTCTGTTTAGCCTTTTATACACTCTCTTGGCGCCTAGTTTCTTCTTGAAACTATTGTTGCTATCAAGACAAGATGAGCTGATGCAGTTTTAACACCCATGAGTAGCTCCCCTGGAATCACACAAAGTGGTAATAGCTTGTTAATGCTACATTTAACTTTTTGTGAATTATAATTCACCTTGAAAAGCTGAAAAAACCTAAGCAGAGAATAGATCACCATGTAGACTAATAATTTGTCATCAAATATGATTCCCTACTACCTCATATCATTGACCAGCTTGTACATCATATAAATGTACTCTCTCAGCGAATCATTGCCATCATATCTGACTAACATAAACCATGTCAGATAATAATATTATAGTTGCTTCTTAATGCCTATCAACTCTTTCTTGATAAAATCAAGAAGCTCATTGGCAGTATCAAAACCAAAAAACCATTCTGAATAGTATCACCAGTAGCAGCATAAATTAACCAAATGGCATGGTAGTACCTTTAGTCCACATAAAAATGCAATAACTTTTCTACCTAAGAAGACTCTACACTGGGCATATGGGTTTCTTCCTTTAGAAGAAAAAAAAAAAAAAAAAATACAGACTCGTAGTCCAAGAAACCCAATATAATATGAAAACTTGTCTTCTAGGCAATATAATTTTTAACCATTACATGGTTCAATCCCTATGAGCAGTCTTTAAATTGCGGAAGCGTCTGTAACCTGAATAAATGTTATATTGAATAACACCACATAAATAACATATAAAATAATATGTTACAGTTTTAGGAATTATTACTTTAATTTATGCTTAAGGTTTTAAGCCGAATTTTTCTGGGTGTTTTACAATGTGGAAAAACCATTCACCCTACGGGAACAAATAAAATGTCTTCTAAAAATCACCTTTTGGCAAAATTTTAGATTTTACTTTACCCCTAAACCTGTGATAAAATCGCATATAGATCTATTTGATTATACTTGAATTATTTCTAAACATTCTCACTACCTTTTGGCAAGAGGGTTATTTAGTTATAATTCAAGCACTCTCAAATATTCTACTCACGTATCCCACACTAAGATATTGATCACCTTTTGGCAGAACTAATGCCCTCATGTAGGTAAGTGCACTGTGAGACCTCAATAAGACCAATGTCTTAAAATTTCAAAAAATAATAACCTCCGTCAGCGTGTCACCTTTTGGCAGGCATCACCCACTTTGCCTATCACAATTGAAACGGTCACTGTACTGGTCTTCCTAAACCTCAAGGAAGAACCTAAACTATATAAATTCCATTTATTTAAGTTCAACAACTTCTTTATAATGCACATAAACTAAACCTAAATATTATGGAATACTTGATTAATTTCACTGTAATATAAATAGCTTTCATACAAATAAAATAAAGCTTCCTCATACATTTTAAGAAATTATAGTGAACAATATAATAATAACATGCACATCAATCAAGATTTAAAATCTCAATTCTTTATATACTTTAATTAAAATAAAATAACAAAAAAACTTGATGTATGTATATTATATATCCGATGAATAATTTAAAGTAATTGAATCTTTAAATCAGTTAGGTTAATACTGCTTACTTATGACACGCAAGTCTCATAAGTTTTTCAACCTAAAATTAAACAAATATCATGAATTACACAATAAAATTATTGGACATAGAGCACGGCTCGATTGTTGCGCAACTTCACATTAAACAAAAAAAAGTCACTCGTGCATGTATATATTGCATCAAATAGTTTATCCTACAAAATATATACTGGATAATCAAATCATTCCATTATGATTCACATAATTCAAGATCAATTTCTCATATTAATGCATAATAGAGTATTTCATTCAAGAATCATATACAAATCAAATTCTTGAACAACATATCAACATGGATTAAATTTAACTGAAAAATAAATAAATAACTATTTATAACCATCCATGTACATAAAATAAATTTCAAAATAATTTATTCTATGGTTCCACAAATGGGACGTAAATAATGAACCCATGAGTATGATATCAAAACCAAATCATCTCAATTTTATATGCAGGCTCGTAAAGATTCAATAATTACTATTATAATTTTTGAACCTTTCATCTCAAAGGATATGATATCATTCAATCCCTTTGAACTTAAATTAACAGTGAATTCAAAATATAAAATTTAAGTTGAATTTTTTTTTTTATTCCGAACAGAGTGTAGTACCCATATACAAGGTCGAATATATATATATATATGCGAGAATACACAAATTTATATTACTTGTGACATCATTCTCATTATGTACCAATACACATGGGATCATGTAATTTTGTCACCATTCCGATGGGATTACTATCAACTGATGGGTGAACAATCAATAAATAATACATGGAATTACTACCTCCCATAGAATAATTTTAAAATTAATTAAATATTCAATCCAATACCATTAAAATCATTCTCTTTGTTTTTTCCTCGTTCGGCGTGCAACTTTATGAAGAAAACGAATACAGATTTCAGTTACATAAACAAATTGATTCATGCTTAAATCCATTGTTCTTTTCTTCCTCGTTCGGCGTGCTGATTGTATGATAGCTTTTAAAAACTAAACCTTATATGCTTATATATATATATAAATCAAGTACAAACACGCACCAGGCAACATGCACCAAAGGTTTCTTTATTATTCAAATTATATTGAATTCATGGCACATTAACTTTAAACCCAAGTGAATAAAGGAAACGAAACCGTGAACATGACTGCAGGACCTATATTCACAACATAGATTGGTGCAAGACCTTGAATTTGTGGTACGATTAAATCTTAAATTCTTTGTCCTCTTGATTTCTTTAATTAAAAAAAAAAAAGAAAAAAAATTTAAACCCTAACATTGCTCTGATACCAATTGTTGGATTTTAATCAAATTAATTCATGTAGAAATCAAGAATATTTTAATTAATTAAAGAGTAATTTAGACTCGTACCTGATTGATGATTAACGCACATATACCTTTAGAATATCCATATAATCTTCTGTGAGTTCCTGTAAAACATTAGAGCGCTTTACCCCCTTCTGAGAATTGTCGATACGATAGGATTTTAAAACTCTTATATATAACAACAACAGGGGGACGGCTTCTCTACAGACAAGCATATCTAAATCTCCCTTCCTATCATGGAAACTTAGATATCAATGGTTAGAAATAAATCACACCAAATAAGTTGGAAAACCACAATTTAACGGTATAAAAAACCATACTCCCAATTAGACCACCAAATTGGAATGTACAAACTCAATCTATCAAGTATCAATAATTACATTGCAATCTTACTTTAAAAAACGTCGTGCATAGGACCATAAAATAATTTTTATTATTTATATATATATATATATATATATATAAATTCCAACATTATGGGCATCAAATTGTTATCTTGTTTTCATCAATATCCTTCGATTCCTAGTCTCTCCTCACCGCTGGAAGGATCCTATCTCCACAACATATAGCATGATCATCCATGTGTACATCTATTGAAGTATTTAACTTCAAATAAGAAAATTTAAATAAATAAAAGAAGTTTAGTCATACGATTTTAGCAACTATAGTTTAATCTAAACCTTCAAATTTAAACTTACGTTTGAATTTCACTATTACTCATAAATTGGAAGTGATTATAAGTATTCAAATGATTTAGAGGTGATTGCAAGTATTCAAAATAGTTAATTTTTTTCTTGAAGTTGGTAAAAGCACCCTGAATTACTAAAAGGAAATTATTAGTGATGGGTGTATGAGGAGCTCATATCCTCGTGCCCTTATATTAAAATGATGAATTAAAAATAATGTATTCCATACCTATAATGTATTTGTTATGAAAAGATTAGTTAAGCTTGTGTGATAACAAAATTTAAACTTTTTAATTGGTCAATTCCTATTAGTTAGTTATTGATGGGTCTAGGTGGAACTCATATCACGTGTCATGCACTCAGTATCACCTTAATCATCTAATGTAATAATTAGTTCTAAAGATCAAGAGTTTTTACTTTCAACTCCTCAAAGTGTCGACAAATTTGGAGGTGGTAAAAATACCCTTGTTTACTAAAAGAAAATTATTAGTGATGGGGATATGAGGAGCTCATATCCTCATGCCCTTCCTTATATTAAAATGATGAATTAAAAATAATTTATTTGGCTATGAAAAGATTATTTAAGCGTGTATGACAACAAAATTTAAACATCATTTAAAAGAACAAGTTCCAATTATATTAATTGATCAATTCCTATTAGTTAGCTTCTACTGGAGTAAGTGCACTGCAATTTATATTGTACCTAGCTTCTTAGAAAATTCTTGTTAGTGTTCATACTCGATCATTATGTCAGTAACAGCTTTCAGAGCTGAAATTAGGATTAAGCTTTGGGGGAAATATTCTGTGATAATTGTGATTGGACACTCACAACTTTGAACACGAATAAATCAAATAGATTTTTATAAGTAGGCAATGCACAATTTTAATTATTTTGCTCCATTTAATTCAGTTCAGCGTGAGAAAGGTATTAATGCTTTATGTATCACTCAATGGAACTCAAATTCCCACTACGCTGGGCTCCACTTCCACGAAGCAAACTTTTGACTGTCTGGAAAGTGATTTTGAAACTTTCCTTGATGCAACGCCGTAAAGAAAAATAAAAGACCTTTGTGGAGTTCACACCTACTATAAAATACATTGCACATCTTCATTCAAGTTCATTCTCATCCGTTCTCAATAGTTAATATAAATTACATTCACATCTTCATTCAAGTCCATTCTCATCCGTCATCAATACATAATATAAATTAC